AAGGACTGTAGTTGTCTTAGTGGAGATGCCCCATTTCTTTAAAAATAATGTAGCAAAATAAATTGGTCCAAGTTTCTTTTGCAGAAGTTGTCACTTTCTTCTGCCACTTTCTAGTGTTCAGAATTAATGAGATACAGAGGTAAGAAAATGATGTAATTATTTAACTTAATTTGCTTATCATAGAAAAAAAGTTTCCAAATCAATAACAGCAACTAGAGTTATGAAGCTTCAGTGTGTTTCATAACTTATATAGAACATAAGACTTGGTCAATTCTGAAATATTCCCCAGATTCATAAAGCACAGACAATACTTTCCTTGGTGATTATGGTATTGTGAGAAGGGAAAGATTAATAGAGAGGCAAAAGTAATAGGAGCCAATCAGCTGGACAACTTTTTTTTCTACAGTTTCTTTTTTTTTATTTTAACAATTTGCTTAGGAATGATTATCATCTTGTAAGTTGAGAGCTAATTATATATATATATATATATATATATATATATATATATATATATATATATATATATATATATATATATATATATATATATATCCTAAATACTCATTTTCCACACATGAAAGTCTGGTACTCTGAAGTAGTAAGACAAAGAAGCACTCACTTGACAAACATGCAACATCTAAATAGAAACAGAGATTTAAAAGACCAGCAAAAGTACTTTGTTCCTTAAAAAAGCAGCTCCTATTTTTTGGCATCCAATATATTGCAAAATATGTATGCATGAGTTGAGTTGTTGACACAGTTTATCATTCTCAATAAATTATACCTTCCTTAAGGAAGATGCCTTTCTCCCTTTTATAAATACAATGAGAGACGAATCTCTACGACTTAAAGAAGGTACTTTAAGAAATAGTGAGAACTTTTCATTTATCAACCAGTTATATTAAAAATTCACCCTCTTTTATAACTCAAGGAACGACTTTTCATCATATTAGGTGATCTACTAATGGACTGGTCTTTAAACAGTATCACATGTTTTTTTATTATTAGATGGAGTATATGTGCTACAGAAAATGGTTGAACCAAAACTAGTTCCAGATGGTTGAAACATATTGCATGTCACCCACAATAAACCCGCAAACATACATACATACAGATCAATTAATGCCATTCTCATAATGTGTGTTACATCATGGCTTTAATTGCCAAGCCATATTCTTTTTCTGTTAAAAAAGCCAGTAGACACCACATATCTTATCAACATTGTTGCATATTAATACTCTGTGTCTACATGTTGATTTTAAAATGGGCCAGATGTGATTCACTTAGCAATTCTCTCCCTCATCCTCTTTAGTTGCCTCTGATGGCCAATTAGCCATGACAAAAAGAGGTGATAAGGGCAATAATCCACTTTGCCTCACATATATTGTGATAACAAAAGTCATGAGAATTATTCTTTAAGTATATCATACAAAATGAACATAAGCACAGGAATACATATGTACAGCTGTGAGAGATCAAGATTAAAAGAGCTAAAGATGATTCAGAATATGCACAGACTTGCACATAACATCTATTGGAAGCATTATATATTTTCCTATAATCATGCAACTGCTACCATTTAACCACAGGAAAAAATGCACTGTTGCATGGTGCTATATGTGCATCTATACATGATCTCTGCACAGACCTCTTTATTCATAGGTAAAGCCCTATCTGAATGCCCTTGGATTGGTTTTATTTATATGGCTGCCCATATCAATACATGACCCTGGGCAGCTAATAATATTAAAAATATTTAGTCACACTATGAAGAGCTACTGACTTGGAAGTGCCTTTTATATCATAGAGTGCACTGCTATTCTTAGTACAACTTAATTTCAGCAGAATCTAAAAGAAACAAGACAATCTCCTTTCTATTTTAATAACACTGTAGCAATATGTGAATATGTGTGACAGAGTAGATTTATGATTATGTTGTACTAATTTTTTTTCTGACTAAACAATGCATTTCAGGGTCCATGGTTTACGCCAACAGTAAATTCACTAGCAAACTCTCTTCCCATGTGTAGAAATAGGCTCACACAGGATTAAAATAAAACAAATGCAGACAATACTAATAGGATCCCTAATATTTTAAATGTATACAATATCACATAAATAGAACTACTTAATTATTTTATTTGAGTTTAACTCAAGCAAATGCCACCCTTAAAATATGACTGAAATGTTAAAATAAATGGAGATTTAGAAATTATCTGAGTTATTAAACTTCTCTCAGAAACGCATGTCCATACTGTTTCATAGTGAGATGATTTTTTTGTTGTTAAAAATCCCTATGTGTTACTTCCTCTAGTTAAATGTTATTTCCCTAAAACACGGGAAACTCTGTTGACCTTGTACAATTTAGCTTACAGCAGGCTGCAAAATATATTCACTGTTAGAAATAAATGACTGGAGAGATTAAACAGCTAAATTCCTATAAGAAGGACATCAGTGGCCAAGTCACCAAGCAGTATCCTTACTAGGGGAAACTTCCATTCTATGTTCACACATTTGCATACAGGGTTACTTAACGATAGTTTACTAAATCCATTTTTCTGGATTTACATAATGTACAGAAGAATGAGTTAACCAAAAGGGCTGGATTGGAACAACATGCCAGGGTGGCTGAAATGGTTTTGGTCAGTATATTGTGCAAACACAACATCTTGCCAGTTTCTATTTATATCTGTGCACAATTGATATCTAGTTGGAAGAAAGAAATTAACAATAGCCCTTCAAAACCATCAGTAGCTATAGCTGACTAGCAACTCCTAATAAATCATTGCTACCTGTTGATTTACTACTACTGAGAAGCTCGGGATAGACTGTTGATCCCACCATTAAGAGAGTGTTGGCTTTTCGAGGTAGTTCAGATAAAAAGCATAACAATGAACCCTAGCTCTGTCTTAATTGTAAGGTTACATTAACAGAGTTTTGCAAGGCTGAACGAATTACTCCCATCCTTTCCTTTTACTCTATGGAAAACTAGTGAGGGTCCCTTCTAAAATGCCTCTCAAACACCTCTTCTTCTGTGGACTGAGATATCTTCCATATGCTGGTTTTCCGGCCTCTGGCTCTTCTTCTTATTTCCCATTCCCCACATACCACTAGATGGACAAAAAGCAAAGGACACAGATTTTTAAATACATACTTCTAAATGTGCACTTAATAGTTTTGGATTTGCATAGTTTAAATATGCAAGAACTCTGCTTCATTAACAACTCTTCCCCACACATATCTTCTCGAGTCTAATCTAATTATCTCAATTATATCATTTATCATTTATCAAAATGAGAAGACACATTGAATTCTCCTCACCCCAAGTGCCTAAATACATGTTAAAATGGCATCCTTTGACCTTTCCATCCTGCCAAGCCAGCAAAAGGATGACTGCATGTAGCAAGGAATATAGCATCTTCAGCAAAGTGCGAAACAGCCTAAAAATTGTAAAGCTATCATTAAATGCAAAGGACTGTATAATAAAAAAAGGAGAACCTTAACACAAAGATCTGACCTTTGCAAGAGATAGGAGCATTATAACTGAAAACATCCTAGTGAAATTCAAGCCCAACAGGTGTCCTCTATCAAACACTGCAGCCATCCTCCCCTTTCTTCCACCTGTTCTCCATGTGAGAACAGTCACTCATATCACTCCAGGATCTGCACTGACTTCCTATTGTTTTCTAAATGCAACTGAAAGGACTATTTTCAATCCATCTTCAGAAAACCTTGATAACTGGGAATCATCACATTCTTTTATATTAGTCTAGCATGAGCATCTAGAGAAAGATTCTGCATGGATTTAGATTGAAGGTGTATCTTCTCTGGAGGCAGTTTTGGTTTTCTTTCTTGATAATCTTTTTTTTGTGCTAAGTGCTAGCCAGAACATGCTTTGTGATGATTGGGAGGTTTTGAATAAGACTGTTTTAGCTATGCTCTATAAGGAAAAATCTTTCCAAGTAGCCCAGCAGGACAAATGCTCTGCTGAATATCTGGAGAAGAGATGCCAGGCACAGCAGACAAATCTGATGTACTTGCAAGAAAGTTTGAGGCAGTGTTTCTCAATCCTGTCAATTTTAAATGTGTAGACTAGCTGGGGAATCCTGAGAGTTTTACCCATGCTGGCTTGGGAATTCTGGAGTTGAAGTCTACATACCTTAAAGTGGTCAAAGTTGAGAAACACTGTTTTAAGGTACCTTTATGCCAGATTTAGATAGGATAAAAAAAAGAACTGAGTCCTCATTTGGAACTTTTATTTTTCAATTTGTGCTAATGTAAAATGCACAAATTCAGCCCTGCAGCATATAAAATTGAACCTTTTCAATCTCTCCCTTTGGAAGCTATTTGCTTTCTACCGATGTTTTCCAGCACAAATATGCAGGATACTTCAAACCTTCAATTCAGTCTTAAAGTTTTTTTTCTGTGTATTAAGGTTAATCAGCTCATTGTGACTAATGCACTATAAATAAGGAGACAGAAATCTATTTCATGTGTTCTAAGTTCTCCTTTAACAATAGTTTCCTCAAAATCAATCAATTTAGAAGTTAGTCTTGACAATCAATCAATGGAACAGTTTGCCTTCAGATGTTGTGGGTGCTTCATCACTGGAAGCTTTCAAGAAGACACTGGATAGCCATCAGTCAGAAATGGTATAGCAGGAGGTTAGACTAAAGGACCTATAAGGTCACTTCCAACTCTGTTATTCTATTCTATTTTAGATCTTGTTAATTTTAATTGGTGGTTCAAAATAGAACTAAATTGGGACCCATCAATAGATATATGTTTTACAATGGAAATAAGCAGAAAGCTTTTCTGTAAAAAATTCAACTAATAAAGCATTTTGTATTGCTACATATCCAGGCCAAAATATTACATCAGTTACATTTTTATCTGACAACATAGAGTTATTGCAAGTATAAAAAGGCAATATAGTTAGAAGGCCTAAAATTTAGAAAAATCTGCTTTGTTGGCTTCATCACATATTTCATATTTCATACCTGCTGCATTGGTTCTTCCTCTAAATACATCATCATAAGCTTTCCACTGGGGTGTCACTTGATAAACATGGATGAACACCACAAATACTACCACCAGGCATACTAGTGGTACCAGGGCAGCAGTAAAAAGGGCTCCGTAAATATTTGGAATGAAGCATCTGAAATGGAAAAAGAAAACAGAGTCATTTTCAAATATTATAGGAACTTTGTCTGGAGTGTAGAAGTCACCCACACATGGTGTTTAACCATATGATTTTCAAGAGTTAAAAGGAAATTCAAATGGTCTTTAATTATTTCATGTATCTTGGATTTATAAGAGACAGTGATTGTCAAAATGGGATTAACTTTTTTTAAGTATAATAAAAGTTTTTATAAATGCAGTTTTCCCAATAGAAAAAAAGCTAAACTCGTTCAAAAAACCCTCCTATTTGTACATTTATCTAATATCAAACTTAGTAGCACTATTAAAAAAAATGCATTTTTTAAATTTATCATCGGTTACCGCATTCAGAATTTCTTTAAAACATATATAAAACCAAAAATGATTGGCATATAATAAAAGGTTCCATTCTAAATAAAGCAACTGTTGGTTTCTTTTTGCCATAACTTTTCTCCCTCTATTTTTCCTTTTTCAGTTGGAGAAGTGGATAGGGCTAGACCTCACCCATTCAGAAACCAAAGCGAAAATCTATTAATACTTGCCTCCTGTAAACCCAATTATGCTGGGTTCTTTGGATGTGAATAAATGAGAATTGACTTAGTCCAGGAATATTTTAGCTTCTAGGAAAATGTACCATTCAGTTACTTCACCAGAATACTTATTTATATAGAATGCCAATAGCAACATTATTTGGTTCACAAAACATAATTGTATTTAAAGAACTTTTGCACTGAATTGGATATTGAGGCACAGGGTTTTTTTTTAACTTCAGCATAGGTCTGGAAACCTCTGACTCCTTACCAACTTCAATAGCCAATTGTTTCATGCTCATTTTTTCAAACCGGAAAGAAAAATAAGCCATTAACATGTTCTAGCAATCCCACTGTTGCCCTTTTGTACATTCATTAGATAAGAAAAGTGTTGCATCTCAACAAAATGTTCAGGAATATCTCCTCATTGATCAATTCTGATTAATTATAAGCAATATTGTATGATCAGTAAAAGCTTTCTTATAGATAGTCCTTGACTTATGACTACAATTGGGACAAATGTCTATGGAGATTCTCAATCATCATGGTTGTCCCACAGGTGCTTTTCAAAAGGCAACTGGACTTTCTTGGTTTTTCCTTGAAAACATTTCCCTTCTTATCCAAGAAGCTTCTTCAATTCTGAGAAGAGAACTGAAGAAGCTTCCTGGATGACAAGCAAAATGTTTTCAAAGAAAAAACCAAGAAAGTTGGTTTTCGAAAAGCACCTGTGGGACAACCATGATGATTGAGAATCTCCATAGACCTTTGGGCCACAGCTGGGACAGAATTTCTGCTGCTAAACAAAACAATTTTTAAATGAGTTCTGCCCGATTTTAGGACCTTTTTGGACATGGTTGTTAAGTGAATCACTGCAGTTGTTAAATGTATCATGCAGTGATTAAGTGACTTGGGAAGGTTGCAAATGGCGATCATATGACTCTGGGATGCTGCAATCATGGTAAATACATGACAGTTGCCAAGCACCTTAATTTTGATCATGTGACCATGGGGATGCTGCAACAGTTATAAGTGCAAGAACCAGTGGTAAGTCAATTTTTTTCCAGTAGCATTGTCATTTTGAATTATCGCTAAGCGAAAAGTTGTAACTTGGGGATTATTTGTAGTTGGAACTCTGTAAGAGCAAACATATCCATTCAAAAAATTTATCAAGATGTTTCTTTTTTACAATTAATTTCTATCTATCCACACCATTATGGAAATACACAATCACCAGATTTTATCTTCTTGGAAGATTAAATTGAATATTGATAAGCAGACTTTAAAAATAAATATCATTACCAGTATATCTTTACTATTTCCAATGAGTATACCTAGAAGTCTAGTTCTGCACTGTTAGATAAACCATTGTGAAGTTTTCTGTCTTTTGCCCTTTCATTTCTGAACTGATTTATTTTGAAGAAAGTTGATTTATAGTATAAATTACTATTACAAAAATGCAGTGTGCATCTGCCAACCTTACTATTTTCAGAATGTAAGAATATGAGAAAAAGCAGATACAAACAAATTATTGTACTAATTAAATGTATAAATCATCCACTTTGGTATCTCCACCTATTGCATAGAAGGGTCTGAGCTCTCTTGGCAGAGAGTTATATGCGATGGCTGGGCAGGCCCTATGGGAGGGAGGGGAACTTGTAGTGCTCTGAGTCTTTATTTAGTTATGGGATTTGTATCCTGCCCGTTTGAGTAAGTTGGTTGGATAACAGTTAACAGAGTAACTAATAACAGCTTAAAAGAGCATTAAATGTAAATTAGAAAATAGCAGATTATAACAAAATTAAGCTAACATAAAAAATTAAGAAAATTAAGATAAAACAAGGTTGAAACCAGTAGTGAGCTCATTAGTTCTCATGTACTCAATTTCCCCCCCAAACAGCCACAGTTTTTACAGCTTTCTGAAAAATAAGCAGTATATTCCAAAGGCAGGCAGCCATTCTGAGGAAACCTGCCTCCAAAATTGGAAAAGCCAGTTTTTTAGCCAGTGCAAAGTTCAGGGGTCACCATAGGATTCACATCACTTATCAGAATTATTTTTTTTTACAATAGATGATAATAAGCTGTCTTATGAAAGTGACCTAAGTTAATCTTCTATTTTTCTCTACTAATGTTAAGTCTCAATGGACTGTATATAACTCTCAAGAACTATTACTTTGCACACAAGAAAAATATATACTGAGTATACGTTTGAATATGAAACATTTTAGAAATAAGGAAGGAAACCCTGTTGCACTTGGAAAATCAAGTTTAGAAGTCATCTATGGAACCCAAGCTTTCATCTGCAAGAATTTGTATTATCATATCTCTGCAGCACACAGAAATAAAATGTGGACAAGCATGAAGCTTATTACTTGGCATTTTTATTATTGCAAGTGTACTGACTAGGACTCTATGCTGATTTGGCTGAAACAGATTAAGAGGGGCTCTAAAGAGAATTATGATGTCCAAATGTTCTTCAGACAATTATGAATTTCCTGTTTGTGAAATACCCAGCATATTGTTTTAGACAGCTGATATTATGAATTTATTGCACCCTAAAGTTTCAAGTGATGTTTAATAATAGGTAGTGCTAATGATTGAAAGAAAAAACCAGATTATGTTGATGCTCTGGCAGCTGTCACTGTGGCTATATATATAAATATACTTCAGGATGGGGGTCTATTGGATCTGTCAGATATTGTGTCTCTATGCATATCCTGCCTTCAGTCCAATGTGTGTGCATGACTATTTTCAAACCTTATCTTCTGTTCCTGCGTGGTCCTTTCCTTCCTATTTGCAATGTCAGTTGCATAGTTCTCCAATTGCATGCCAAATCTCTGACCTGATTGTGCTGCTCAGTGAGGAGTGGTGACAACTTATAATATAAGTAAATGTTATTTGAGTGTCTGTTTGCTTTTGTTTTTGCTGACCACAGATTAAAGTTGGGAGCTGTGTAGAATGTGATACTTTCAGTAGAATGATCAAAGTTTTAGATATTCTGTTTTAATAACAGTTTTATAATATGAAAATAGGTTTATTGTTCTACTTGTTGTTTTGAGTTCACATAGACAAGTGTTAAAGCAATTATCACAATATGTTTTATAATACAGTATCTCAGAATGCAATACAGTAATTTTTGTTCAACCGTAAATAGCTTGAAATCGTCCATTTAAAGATTGCAGCAGAGACCTGAACCAAGGTTCTCTTATCAAAAGAACTATGTCTGCTTTTTTTTCCCAGTTGATGGGCAGGAAATAAGAATTGATCAATTTCTTATTGGCTGTTTGTGCTGCATAGTGTTGCTGAACAGATACTAATACAAATAATGATACAAATGCTTGATACAAATTTCCATGATTTTAACAGTCACCACTGTGTCCTTACCTACAGAACAAACAAGCTAACATCTAAATAAAAGACACATGGTGTCTGCTAAAATAATAAAAGTTGATTACTAATTAGTTTAATTACAAGTTTTTATTTTATTGTGAACACAATAAACGATTTGTAGATGTTTGCTTGCTCTCAGAAGGACTGTACAGATATCATGCATCTGTCTGGCCTAGTTGAGGCTGTTGTGCTTCCCAAAATTTAATTACTAGTAAATAATAATAATAATAATAATAATGATGATGATGATGATGATGATGATGATGATGATGATGGAGGTGACCTTGGAGGTCATCTAGTCCAACCCCCTGCTCAGGCAGGAAACCCTATACCATTTCAGACAAATGGCTGTCCAGTCTCTTCTTAAAAACTGCCAGTGTTGGAGCATTCACCGCTTCTGGAGGCAGGTTGTTCCACTGATTAATTGTTCTAACTGTCAGGAAATTTTTCCTTAGTTCTAGGTTGCTTCTCTCTTACTGGAACACTACTATTATGTCATCCCTTGTCCTTCTCTTCATTAAACTAGACATACCTAATTCCAGCAACCGTTCCTTATATGTTTTAGCCTCCAGTCCCCTAATATCTTTGCTGCTCTTCTGTACTCTCTCTAGAGTCTCAACATCTTTTTTACATCGTGGTGACCAAAACTGGATGTAGTATTCCGGGTGTGGCCTTACCAAGACATTGTAAAGTGGTATTAACACTTCATGTGATCTTGATTTTATCCCTCTGTTAATGCAGCCTAGCACTGTGTTGGCTTTTTTGGCAGCTGCAGCACACTGCTGGCTCATATTTAAGTGATTGTCCACTAGGACTCCGAGATCCCTCTCACAGTTGCTATTATTGAGCAAGGTACTACCTAACTATGCCTGTGCATTTGGGGTTTTTTGCCTAAATGTAGAACCTTACTTTTTTCACCATTGAATTTCATTTTGTTAGATAGCGCCCAATGTTCAAGTCTATCAAGATCCCTCTGTATCTTAAGCCTATCTTCTGGAGTGTTTGCTATTCCTGCCAGCTTGGTGTCATTTGATGAGTTCCCCATCTATCCTCTCATCCAAATGATTGATGAAGATGTTGA